GACCGGGCAAAAGCCCCTCAGGGCGGGCCCGGCAGTGCAGGCGCACGTGTGGTGGGGGGGGGGACTGGGTTCGGCGGCGGCTGCGGCGTGTTTATGTCGGCGGGGCTCCGGGGTTGCAGCGCGCAAGGCAAGGCAAGGCAGGGCGGCGGGCGGCGGGGCTGCGGTCGAGCCCAAAGGAAGGATCCCGCGGGAAAGCCGGCGGCCGCCGCAGAGCGAAGGGGCTCCGGGAGAGCTCCTCGCCGAACCGGCGGCCGTTTCCACCGTCTGGCGCAGTATCTCGAAAGGCACCGGGCACCTGATGCTGTTCAGAGACGTCCGGATCGCCCGGGGTCGGAGCCCCGTTGGGCAAGGTAGGGGGAGAGCAGGTGCTTCTTGACGGGGCAGATCGGGCGTGGTGAGAGCATAGCGGGGAGTAGGAGGTAGGGGAGCCGAGAAGAACCCCTTGAAAGACCTCGCCTTCCACCGCTCCTACCGCTCCTGACTTTTGCGAGAGAGGCGCGGAGGGCTTTGTTTTCCCCTCCCCTGCAGTTTTTCTCCCCTTGCTTTGCTAAGACATAGTGGTGATCTGGCGTAAAACAAATCTAGATTACTCTTCTTTAACCTCCTGACTCCCAGAGCTTCATCTGCTCACTCTAAATAAAGTTTTTTTTTCCGGGGCCCTTTTTTGCAAGGCAGGCAGGGCGACTGTTTGTGAAAAAGCCCATCCTGTTTTGTTTGTTAAAACCACCGTCTGCAAGATTAGCTTTTGCCAGTCATGTTCCAGGGAATCGCTTATAGGACACAAGGGATCTGTCTGTTTTATCAGGCACAATGTGACGACTTCCTGAGAGCCAGCCTCTCTTGGAGCGGCTGCTCTGACAAACATCTGCAGTAGACAGATGTGGGACATGTAAATAGGGCGGAAGGGACACATAGTTTGATATTAGTAAAAAGAAAGAAAGAAAACCAGATGTGTATTTAACTTTATAATGTACATGATGCCTTGGGGGGGGCTTGGGTGGTACAGATCTGTGCTAAATTCAGCATTTGGTCGTTGGGTTGCTTCTTCTTCTATCCACTTAATGACTTCAGTCACATCTCAGTTCATTGTCATCTGCTTCATGGTTAATATGTGTTGAACTGCAAGTTAAACATGATTTAGGCAGTCATGCCACTATTTATTTTATTCTGTGGTGGACTCCACTCTGAACAATACAATTGCACTCTGATTGATCACTTGTTATGAATGAGCTCTAAATCTCAAATGATCAAACTGAGAAATCTACCAAACAGAGCCCCAAACAAGAGACTTCTTAGCTGGTGTTGGATACTTAGATTTTCCTGGAGACTGAGTGCATATAGAATGAGTCCAGCTGATACCACATATCCTGTGAACCAATTAGTCCATCTCCCTTGTATTGTTGCCAGCTCTGGTTGCTAGCCACTTCAACAGGCACAAGATGTACCTCTGTTAATACTGCCTGCAAATCTTTAGAAGGGAAGATGCTGGAAACTGAGCATACGACATCCTGTATTCAAAGTATATGCTATACTATAGAGCCACAGTTCATCAGAGCTAATGCATGTTCTTTTAGCATCAGGAATTGCAACAGTGCCACTGGAAGGTTTTCAGGAATTGTTTTTCTTCCACGTATTGTACTAATATGCCGTGGCACAAAAAGCATGAATTTAGGTGATTATATGTATTCACCTAGCTCGGAGAAACCCACCAAGGGCACATTCAGAAGGCAAACTGAGTGATGGTCTAATCTGACGGTCTCATCTCCAAACAAACTGGCTGTTGCATGTGCATGCTATTTTTAGGCAGATACTAATATAAGGCAACATGTGATTATCAATTTATATAACAAGCAAAATTAATAGTAATAACTTAACCCTTTTATGATTCAAGATGGCTATTTATGGTGTTCTAGTAATTGTGATCTATGACATCCCACCACCAGCAAAACCAGAGCTTGGAAACATGATGTTTTTTTTAAAAAAGACCACAACATCTAGAATATTATAGCATGGCCATAATATTTCCAAGCTCAGAGCGAAACTAAACAAAATGTGTCTATTCCCAACGTTTGCTGGTGTTTTTTTTTTTAAATCTTGAACATATAATGTGGGTATTCTAAGTGACCTTAACTGAGTGGGTTAAGATCATGTGCCAAAGGGAAGGAGTCATAAATCTGATAGGTTTCCATGTGAAAGTTAAGCATGTACTTACATGTATTCCACTGAAGTCAGAGGGACTTAATCTAGTCAAAGTTCCCACTGATTTCAGCAGAAAATGGTCAAGGTTTCCTGGAATTGTTGTCCAAAGAAATCAGCTTTCCCAGATTCTGAGGCGAACTTTTGGTACATATTTCTCAATGTGCTACATGAATTGGGCAGCAGGAAAAAACCTTGAGACCTCTTATAGCTGGTATACTCTGTTACAAGGAGGATGTGGTGGTCCTTCCCGTCTTTTCATGTTTCAAACCACATAAGCAAGGAAACATTCAGGGCACAAATGCTTTTTCACTGCTCTGATTAAATTATTTGAATATCTCCTACTTAATTGTTTCATGGAAATCAGTGGGATTTAAAATGCTTGAATTTTGACTAGATTTTAATACACCTGTATACAAATGGAGTTTTGAAATCATGATCTCCACCTTTTTTGTGGGAAGATAAATTGCAGGTGCAATCTCACTGAATTTCTCCATTCTATAAAACTCATATCCAGTAATATTGTTGAAATTTTCCAATACAGTAGTTTTTCAGATATGGGGCTCCTATAACAGTGGCCATAGCACACCTTGGTTGGTTGGTAAAGGCCTTTTTTTTGTGAAGTGCACCTGCAAACGGCAACAAGAGCACCTGACCATCATATTGCTTCCTCAGCCATGTCTTCTATTTAGTGTCATTCTAGGGTGCTATGGTGACAGTGGCAGGGAGGAAGCTATTTGCCAAAGTGGTGGAAATAAATTTGTAGAATGGTTTTTGTAACGTGGCTCAGCACTCTGATGTCACTGCCTACTCAGACCTCTCAGAATGCCCACCACACCACTTCACACTCGCTGCCACCAATTATAATAACCAATTAAGAAGGACAAAGGTTTCCTTCAAAACATAACAGGTTTATTGGTATAACAAAATAAAATATGTAAATCACAGGTAGCTAATCAAGATGTCAATCACTGTTTCTTATTCAATCAAACACAGACTTTCCCTCACTGACTACTCAGGCACTCAGGCCGCTACACAAGCTCTTTCTCTCTCACTCTCCAGATCTGATCTTTCACACCCTCTTCACACCCCTTTTTATTCCACTTCCTCCCTCTCCAGCTTCCCCCTCCGTCACCCCATTGGCTGATGATCCACTGCCCAGCTGTGACGGACAGGTGAGGTTAGGGCTGCCTGTTACAGTTTTCTATATCTGGTTGAACAAGGAAGAGAAAATCTGAGAATGTTTCTTGGGAGAGGGAAGGAGTCTTCTGAGACATTATGGCTCAGCACCTGTCATTCTTCTGAGTTTAGCACCTCCCCCAGGCCTTCCAAATGCTATATGAGAGGGGGTTGTTTGTCTCAGGAAAGCCAGTTGTAGGAGAGTGGGTAGATTGATGGACTAGGGCTCAGGAGTTGTTGTTGTTGTTTAGTTGTTAAGTTGTGTCCGACTCTTCATGACCCCATGGACCAGAGCATGCCAGGCCCTCCTGTCTTTCACTGCTTCCCGGAGTTTGGTCAAATTCATGTTGGTAGCTTCGATGACACTCTCCAACCATCTCATCCTCTGTCGTCTCCTTCTCCTCTTGCCCTCACACTTTCCCAACATCATGGTCTTTTTCAGGGAGTCTTCTCTTCTCATCACATGCCTTCAGGATCTGTCCTTCCAGTGGGCACTCGGGGTTGATTTCCTTCAGAATGGATAGGTTTCTTCTCCTTGCAGTCCAGGGGACTCTCAAGAGTCTCCTCCAGAACCACAATTCAAAAGCATCAGTTCTTCGGTGGTCAGCCTTCTTTATGGTCCAGCTCTCACTTCCATACATAAAACCATAGCTTTGACTATGTGGACTTTTGTCAGCAAGGTGAGGTCTCTGCTTCTTAAGATGCTGTCTAGGTTTGTCATCACTTTCCTCCCAAGAAGCAGGCGTCTTTTAATTTTGTGGCTGCTGTCACCATCTGCAGTGATCATGGAGACCAGGAAAGTAAAATCTGTGACTACCTCTATATCTTTCCCTTCTATTTGCCAGGAGATGATGGGACCAGTGGCCAAGATTTTAGGTATTTTGATGTTGAGCTTCAGACCATTTTTTGTGCTCTCCTCTTTCACCCTCATTACAAGGTTCTTTAATTCCTCCTCATTTTCT